TGAACCTCATGTCGCCCATCTAAGCTTAACCATATGCAATCGGATCAATTGAATTGATCTTGATGATCATACTTAGAAATCTAAACCTTCAGATATAGTAAGTCTAGATTTTCAACGATATGTGGCTGCTAAATTATTTTTCAGCATCAATTAATAATATCTACTTGTCAACAAATTATGAGTTGCCGGTATTGTGCGGTCATGGATTATCTTCTGAAGCTTCAATTGGCAGGTATCCATTCCAACAAGATTCTTCGCCTTTAATCTGATGTGAATTATCGCTGGAATCCTCATCAGATTCTCTTGGTGACAATACAGGTGACTTGTGTCAGGTATGTAATTTATCGGCGAAATTCTGCTGCTGCATCCGTATAGTCGTTCTGATGAGGCCCTGTACACATCAGCTTTTAATAGATACGAGGCCTGAAGGTATGTCACTTTATTTCTCTTACCTGATAAAAGTACCATTATGCTAACTAGCACCTATGTCCGGGACTTGATTGCTCAACCATATATTTTATAGCTCTAAAGTCCAGGAAAACTTCACCGACACTGACCGTGACCAAAATATCAGCAGTACAGACGGAGAGCAGTTCTATTTGCTATGCACTAAGCATGGTGCATCTCTCCGTTGCTGAGTCATTGCCTTGACGACTCAGACAAACCCATGAACTAAACGTTCGTAATGTTCATAGATACATAGTATAGACACAATTAATACCTCACTTCTATACCTTTCATTTTGCATCGAACTAGCCTTATATATACGTACATTAAGGCCAATCGTCAAGTACTTCAATGTCAGACTCTAATGCACTAATTTTATCCTCTAGGCGCTTAGTAGAGAACTTGATCTAGGCCATAGTATTCAATATGTAAGACTTCTTCAATTATGATAAGTCTAGCTTTGGTACTACGGGAACAGCTATTCCATAAATACAATGTTACTAACGCCATAAACTTATCCTCCTCAAGCATAGACCTTTTTTCCAAGGGGATTGCTCTGTTTCGCTAGGTATTAATTTATAATAGTGCCTAACCTAGGTTCTCTATTGCTGAAAGTGTTGGATGTAACTATAAATTTCGGGGAATACCAGGTCTATTAAATTGATGCTATCGGAGGGCTTAACCTTCGTGCCTGATACAGAGTTTGTAAATTTCGGGCCTAATATTCAGACTTAGCTGTCCTGAGTCCGGCTCATGTTATTCTCTTGTTGCTCCTCCGATGGTGGGCCGTTGTCAGGTTCAAGAAGCGTAAGTAGCAATGTCTGGAGTGCTGGATTATATTTGGAAATGTGTAGGGGGTCAGCTTGTTATCATTAACGGTGTTTGAGGTTTATTTTAGTTCCTCTGGCCAGCTTCCCAAACACATTGTCCTCTTGGCAATGATCGGAAAATCCTAGCAATGGCATGGCCCTAAATAAATCCGAAATTTTTAATTGTGCCACGACAACTGTAACCCATGCTAGGCAAGTAATCAGAATGCTTTATTTGAGGTTTTATGCATGAGTCCTGGTGATGGAATGACTTGTGCAATCAAGGTTAACCGTTAATATCAGGTCCGTACTAGTAGTCACAGATGAGATGCCGGGATATATGACGACAATTTCTTCCAACCTCGCCAACGTGGATAAAAATATCCTTGCCATTAGAGTAATCCTCATGTATTCTAGGGCCTTTGTCAGGTATGATCTTTGGTTCATGCAACAAACAACATTTACTCGTGACCCCACACCCGACAAAGATCAATGAATAGACCTAGCATTATCCTTGGAGTAATGCCCGATGTTCATCCCTCAAGCCCTATTTCTCCATTTCGGACAAGCCCTTTATTTCGCTCCCAATACTATAGTGGATAAATCCATGTTTGTTCCATTTAAGACTGTCCCAAATTAATCTTTGTCCAAACCGACAGCGAGGCCGGGCAAAGATTTGAATGGAACCCTGAGATTAGAAGGTACATTTTACCACGAATATATCATAAATTGCAGTTCTAATCATAAAGTGAGGAAGATCCGACCATGTACTAGTTGATTCCCAACCATCATCAATGCGACAAGACAGTGTAAAATATCTCCTCGTTATGACACTATTCTCACCGACAAGATATCTAGAACTAAGTTTAACTATTGCGATAACGTCTTAGAATGAGCACGACATCATCCGATCCTCCCACACGTCATACACCTCCGGTCAAAACCTGCATAAAAACCACGCCTCGTCGATTGTGAAAACAAAGTGCTAGGGCTGATAATTTAGACTTCTCAACATCTCCCTGCATATGAGTTAGTGGGTAACTTGATTCACTTGTTCGTGCACACAGAAGAACCCGTATTCGACTCAAAGTTAGGACGACTATCGACGAGGACTTGCACTCGTGGCTGACGCCTAGTCGCAGTGCTATTGTAGGGCTTTGGTAGAAGGAACAAAGTAATTGCAAGCAGTATCATTCATTTTTCCCATTACCTCCTCGGCAAACAAGCAATACAGCAGATGATGCGACTGTGTGCAAATGTGAAGGGACTTCACAGTTGTTGTTCACAATTATGGGTCCAAAAAATGAATTCATATTTTATCTAAGGAGGAGAACATTTACAACGCGCGCGCAAGATGTTTTGTTCCAATCGAGCGCGTTTTCCCGTGACACTAGCGCGCTTTTGTTCATAGACGGAGCCGGATAGTTCCGGATCCACATACAAGGCTACAGCCTGTAACAGCAAATGATAGATGGGATCGTGCCGTTTAGACAGCGGGGACGGGGATGTGGTAGCCAGGGGCTGAGGAAGAAATTCCGTATGAGTGTGGCTGATATGCCGTTACGAATAGAGTCATATTGTTCCTTACTAATGAATGAATTCGTCTCCCATGTCGAAACATAGAGTGGGGTCGCTAATCTACTTGACCATGTTGGTGACGATGTTGATCGCAGCTACAGGCTTGTTTTCGAAGTATCTATGACGGGTTCTGGAACAATCGAGACACCCATTCCCGCTGCACAGACCCCGGTCATTTAGACCCAACCATACCTTCAACCTTTGATCATGACCGACGTCAACAGAAGTCATGCTACGATGAGTACGAAGAGAAGCAGCTCTCAAGATTTTCTTCATTTGGCTGTAGATTCTTACTCGAGTGTGTGCAAGACGTGGTCCATTTCATCCGACCGCTTATTACATGGTACCAGCCTATTTAAACCCGACCAGATAGTGTGCCTCTACACGAGCTTAGCTCCAGCTCTCTCGAACCATGACCCAGCAAGAAATTGAGGGCTCCTGAAACAGATAGGAATTCATCAGTTGTCGCTGCCTTGCAACTTGTGCTCCCGACGATCGTAAAAGACTGTGCAAAAGCAGCCAAGTCAGCCAAAGGATTGATACCTGGGCCTCCAATAACGGATAAGAGCGCATCAAGGTTGATTTTGTCGAGGTGTTGCTAGTGCCGCCCGGTACATCTTTCAAAGCACAGCTGCCAGGGGTTCTTGATCAGACGAGAAAGGTTATAATGGGTCATTTAAGGCGACTAACCGAACGCCATCGTAGTCTGACTTAACCTTGCTTTTGATACCCAGAGAATAAAGCGATGAGTCGACAAGTCTAGCAAAAGCTGAACTTGAGACTACCGGACTCGGCGGGCACACGCTAGAAGGACTGTCGTATTTCCAGAAGGACCCTGAGAGTAGGTGGAATAATCTGTCACTTTTATGCTTGCACGGAAATGTTTATGCATCTGTCCTATCGTCTAGTTCATCCGGTCTAATTCGATCTCTTGGATATGCACAAGTCAAGAAATGTGTGGGTATCCCGTAGGGTGGCGACGTCGATGCCCAAACTTCGCTGTCAAGAGGATTGAGTTGACGCAAGAGAGACAAGTGCTCCTAGTGGCTCGTAAAAATTCATTCAACTTTGCAACCACTCACTAGATTATTGCCCGCAAATGATTTAAAATTGAGCCAAATCATGGAGGCTGAGCATCTCTAGGGAGTAGAAATATTCTCGTGAAAAACGCTACCGCCTACTATTATTATGAGAGCATTAGCGGGGGCCTGAGTCTTGAGGTAGAAATAATAGTGTCAGAGCCAGGAGAAAGGATCCTAATATTGTTACGCGAAATGCATTAAAACACATTAGTCCCACTTAGACTCATACCAAGAATCTGTAACTTCTCAAGTAAAGTTAAATGGCTTCTTTGACTCGTATGGCGACTAGTACAAGATTATGATCAAGGCACGAGTAATGCTCGATGTTAGCAACATCGTAATCTTGGACGTAGTTACCAATAGCAATCTTCAACTTCACTTTACCTACCGACAGATTGCCAGAATCTTACCTCTTGCTTCCCAAAAATAATTTAAGCGGAGCCTGTCCTGCACTTGCAGGGCTTTTCCATGGAGAATCTGCAGTTATAGCGGCTAAGAAGGAAGCAAAGGCTGCGGGCATTAGTCCGAAAACAGGCATTGCTCCTTAATTAGAGGGGGGGGCCCATTCGGTGATCCTGGAGCTCCTGGAACCCGACATCCTCAAGCAGAGCCTAACTATATATCCTTGAATGGCTCCGTACACGAGCATCCATACAAATTTTCCTCGCGTGCGCTCACACCCACACATACATATACACAATTGCCTCTGCGACAATTGATATACTACCCATCAATTCTACTCTCTACGACGGTTACAACTCGGCTATTATTCTGTGCGAGGACTGGGGCTACCATTGCTCGAGCCACCCTATTCCTCCATCGCACTAACCTGTTGTCGGCAACTCATCGCAGTGAAAAATCGACACCCGAAGAAAATCTCCTTCACTTTTCATTAATCTAAAGGATTACTTCATCACTTATTCTATCGCCAGCTTTCCCATCATATCATCAACATATAATTTTCCATCAATTTTTCCCGCGGCACCGAAAATAAAGGTTTGGCATATTCCGTACTTTTTATCACTGCGCTGACCCTAAATTGGGAATAGCAAATAGCCTTAGCCCCAGAGAAATCTTGGATGTAATGACAGACCGTTACAGTCGACGATCTGCTCGCTCCCGATCACCGCCGGTCTTCAACCCAGCGCGTGTATCTCTTCCTATCAACATAAGTGGTCAACCCACTTCCGACACGCATATCCACGCTGTTCCTACACCACGCCGGGAAGCTGTCAACAACTCAAACAGATCTACTAGTGCTACCACTAATAGTAACGCTAGTACTATCACTACGACTTACAAAATTAAGACAGAACCATCACGCAGTAGTAGCGCACGTGAAAACGGTCGTGTGCGTCGGTCAACCGTAGATAATCATAGTCGACCTATCACGGTTACTGTGACCCCAAGTCATCGATCTTCTGCCCATATAACTAACACCACTCGTTCAGACAGTATAAATTGGTCAGGTGATGAAGATTATACTGGGATATCTACATCGTCTCGATATGGATATCATCATCCTCGGGAGCGTCAGATTTCTCACATAGAACCAGCCGACGTGAGGGGCATTGAAAGTGACCGTGATAGTACAAGGTTACGAATATTACCTCCCCGAGAAACCCACTACGCGAACTCAAGAGTACAACCCGTCTACAATACTTCGGCAGTTAGACATCCTGACACCGTTGCAGACGACTACGAAGAAGACGGATACGGCTATACTAATCCCCGGGATCTTGTTCAGTATGACTTGGACCATACTTACCAACGTCATGAAGTTGATCGCACTAGTTCCGAGAAAGGTCGAAAACAAAGACCGAACAGTATCAGTGCTTACGGTGAATTGATTCCCCAAAAGCCTCATGAATCGAGAGAACGAGGGCCCCCGCCATCCACTCGAGGCTTTGGTAAGATTAGGGTTGAGGCTACAGAGCCATCACAATCTCGAGGGATACCAACAAATGTGCGCCCGTCCATCGAGTCCTCTAATAGACCTGTCAATTTAATACAAAGTGATGTCCCAAGCCAACACAGAAACCTACCCTTTTATGAGCGCGAGACTCGAGCAGGACTTCGAGACGAGTCCTACGAACCACGAGAGAATCATCCAAAAGAGAGAACCTACCACGATCGCTACGATGAAACTATAGAGAAAAAAACTTCTGGGGGTCGTGCAGATAGACCTGAGACTTCCGAAAGATTAGAAAGAGCAGAGCGAATTGATCGGGCAGAATCAGAACATAAGGAACACCGGGAGTACAGAGGAAGAGATGTCATTGCTACAGGTTTAGGAATCGCTGGGGCAGCTCTCGGCATAAGTGCGGTGCGAAACGCCAGTCGCGATGAAACTAGACATCGCGAGGAAGAAAGACGGCGAAAGGAGAGCAAAGACACTAGCCGACGGCAGAAAAACTGGAACAATACGGAATCAGCTGATACAAGTACCAGAGATTCTAAAGAACACCGAACGCGGCACGATGATACATCACCACGAAATGTAAAGTCAACTAGAGAAACTAATTCCCGCGAGAGAGACGACAAAGAAGCGAGATCTCGAGCGGTAGATTCTATTGATCAAAATGGCCGGGAACTAAAGGATCGCAAGAATACAACGGAAGAGTGGGACACTGAAACTGAACGCCGAGATTCCCGGAGACACCGTGCAAAACCTAGTCCTCCAGGCGGTTCGGGTTCCGATGACACAACTTCTCGAGGCCGACGTGAGCGCCTCAAAAAGGAAAATCATCATGTATCTAGTGTTGGCTTTAATCCAAAGGATACGACAGATATCAAAGCTGTTAAGCAAGCCCTTTGTTCAAAAGCAGCAGAGTCTAAAACAGCTACCACTCGGTCATCCAAAGACCCTAGAGATACTACTGAGATACGTATCACAATAGTGAATGACCGAGAGCGTGAAGAGCGCGAACGTGAATCCACTGTCTTGACTGAAAATAAAACACCTCGTGTTGTCTCACCACCACGAGAGAAAGTCGAGGAGAAGCCGGTAAAAGGTATTCTTCGACCGCCCCGCGAAAAATTCCCGGAAGACCCAGCACCAATCCGCGAAGGTGTTGCTCCGCTCAAAGATACCAAAAAAGAAGGTATTCCGCCTGATGCCCGGTGGACTAAGATTAGTCGACGTCTCGTGAACCCCGAAGCTTTGGAGGCAGGTAAGGAGCGCTTTGAAGCCCGTGATGACTTTGTTATTGTACTTCGGGTCTTGAGCAAGGAAGAGGTACAGAAATACGCAGATCTTACCCAGAAAATTAGAGGTAAAAATTCACAAGCGCTATTCTTCATTCTAAAGCTAATAAACTCTAGCCTCTCATGAAGAACAGGACCTTCAAATTTCTCAACAGCATTCAACCCGAAAAGCACGGCGCGAAAATCACAAATCTGAGCGCACAAACTCTCGAGAGCCTCGTCGTCATCATCAAGCGCGTGATGCGTATTCGGACTCTGATGATTCCATAATCAATGAGGACGACACTGGCGACTGGACCAAGGATAGACCACAGTTATACGAAGGTTCTTCACGCAAGAAGTATAGCCTGCCTATTCCTGTCGCCAGCGATGGAATAAGTGATTTGTCGAAAAATTCTTCTCGCTTGGGTCTCGAACCTGATGGCTCACAGGACGCCCGAATGCCTGTTCCCCCCTACCCAACGTATACGCGAGGGCCACTTGTAACTATCCCTACCCCTGTTCCCATGCCGCATACCTACTACGGCTAGATCGCTTGAAAATGTCGGGTGACAAAACGCGATGACCACTTTGATAGCGCTCGTCCTTGATCGAAGACGAGTTACGAATGATGTATTATGACGAATTCTTGACGCATCATGACAGCCTTTATGCAGTCTGTCCGCTGATTACCCAATGATGCTATAGTATCTTGGTGAAGGGGAAGGGGGCTATCATGACCAAGTACCTTCAAATTTCATGGTCACCCTAAATCACGAACCACTTCGGTCGTCTGTTGAGGGTGAATATTTTACCATGATTAAACTTTACTATGGTTTTTGTTACATGTAAGGCTTAAAAAATAAGTTGTAAATAGAGGAATTATGTGAACTTAATATGAGATAGTCAATTGGCTTTACAAATTTGTCATTTGCTAAATTTGAATTGCGCACGATTTCGCCGTGACCCTCTCGTAGCCACACGACCCACTGGCAAGTTCGTGCACTGACAATTTGTTAAGCTCTAGAATATACACTACTGCGGTCTCGCTATACCCGCCGGATTTATCCTGAAGACACCAATACACAAGTGACTGAAATCAGCTGCACACCTGCTTCGTCAGCTATCTTACAGAGTGACCTAGCTGTGAGCGATGTCTTCGTAAACTCTATGTCAGTTCTCGCCAATACCATTTCAACATGAAACGTGACCGTCTCCGCTACATGAGAGCTCGTGACATAGATCACGCTCAAGTTCCTGCGATACTTAATACCGGGTTTGGACCCAGCTGCCTTCCATATCAGCAATTGGGTAATTTTAGATCCATTTCCGCTAGGCTACTTTTGCTAAACTTCCGCCCCCCTTTCGCCGCGGCTCGATCGCGAGCATCGACCCGTCATTCATTAGAAATTACCCCAAATGAGCGGCTGGCCTTCGCCATTGATCATCTCGACCCTCTTCGCCCCTTGTCGGAGTGATATACGTAGCTGGATTTACTCGGAATCGGTGGTTCTTGCCTTGCGTGAAGTTAATCTTGATTTGTGGATTCTGACATCCGGATAATGCTTTATCTGAATGTAAAGTACATGGCAAATCCATACCATCAATTCGGAATAGCACGAACAACCATAAATACGCTTTTCTTCTAAACGATTGTTCGAACTACTCACAAGATTAATCTCACAACTTTAAATTAACTATCAGGCTTAGAGTGTGTGATATTTGATATATCAACACTCCTAGCTAAGGTGGGTAAAGCTTAACGTTTGCGCTCAGCTCTATGCTTTGCTTGTTGAGGATTGGACCTTCGGAATTTGCGCAAATTATTGCAATCCCTTCCCCCCTTCTATCATGGTACACGATGAGGACGAGGGAACTGCAAGCAATCAGATGGTCGAAATAAATAGACCATCCAAAGAACTCACCAAATTGCAATTCTCCTCTTGTCACCCATCTCCTCACCGGCAAGTACCTTCCATGTTAAAGCTCCAAATGATCAGCAAGCGCAGTGAGTACTAGATTTTCTTGCCAGCTACGTTACTGTGAAGCTGTAACGTTGGGCAAAGGCGCCAAAACTACCCCAGGTCTCCCTAAATTGAGCTTTGTAGTATACCTTCAATGCTGCCCAGAGAATGTCAAGCCTTCTGCTTACCTCTCTGTGCCATTCTCATAACTATTGCTCATGCTGACTAATTTTTTTTAGCGCAAACTTGAAGAGATTATCGCCTCATTGGCTTTTCCATGCTGGAAACTTCAGGGTTAACATCCACTGAGATAGAGAGAGAAAAACTAGCTCTGGAGCAACCTCACAAGGTGAAGCTCATCCATTTTTGGGATTCTAGCTTCACATCATCATGAGATATAACTGCTGTATTAAGAAATTCATCGTATAGACGACGGAGGAACTGTGGATCCTTTTCTCCCCACAGAGATATCTATCACAGCGATCAACAACGGCTTGGCCAGTGTAGCTTTCAAGACTCGTGCCTCCTTGGGCAGACTTGAGCCCGTTTATAACCTCTAGGCACAGAAACGAAAATTGTCAATAACTCTGTTAGTTTTTGGCACTTACAAGCAGCTCTAATTTCTAATGTTGTCAGTGTAAGGCCCTCTCCCACACCTCCAAACGCGTAGCTACCTGACGCACTTGACCCTTAATTACAGAGATCTCCCTTTTCGTTATTGACAGTCTTCAAGGAGACATCGCAGTGCAGAAATCGCCTGAGAATACATACAATTCTGAACTCTAAAGATCTCCGCTACGTGATTGATGCAAATCCAAGCGTTAAAGAGGATATTTAGTCATGAGAAGGAATAGACTCAGCGAAAACTGGTTGATACTGAGCTAGAATAGTCGTGCCGGGTATCTGTAAGACTGTAATTTGCTGAAAAATATTGTATCGTTGTACGAAAGCTGGGGGGGCAAGTCTAAAACCAACTGCAAGCGATTCACAAACAAGCTTCATGGTGTTCTGTGGTATAGTTTGAGTAGCCTGGGAACCTACTCCACTTGGGAAAGAGACACCTAAGACCATATTTCGCGCAGAGAAAAGTTAACGGATGATGAAGGCATGTCTGGATAGCTCTGGGTTTTTGAGACGTTCCCCTGGGTGGGTATTCACGGATGAGGGTTGACTTGGGGTGAAGAAAAAACCGCCATCACTTCGCAGTGATACTTGCAAATGAAATCCGAGGCATGAGTGCTCCTCTTGTAAATTGAGGCATCTATTCCGTATTTTTCTTTTGATATTGTGTCAAAGCTATCTAGCTGCGTGCGCAATTTAAAGCTGATGCAAAAAACACAAGCTTCATTCTGCTTACGTGTGATGACTGTGCCTTGGCTTGGCTGGAGAAAGGGTTATGTGCCTGAAATTTTTGGACTATTTGTGCATCTTCAGTCAGATATCTATAATACCTGATCAATGTCTTTGGTGAACATTAGATGAATTGAGAGACGATTGTACTCTGCACGTCATTCGGAAATACCTTTGTGAGGTAAAATCTTCACACATGGCAGCCGACGCATGTCTGCAAACATTCAGTAAAGGCAATTTTTAGAAGAATTGGTTATCCAAAAACAAATCCGTTACTCAGTTTACGGGTGGCGAGAACGGTGTTGTTGAGTCTAGCTAGATTGAAGCCAGTGATCTACCGCTACGCCATTCAGCCAAGACGCTGTTTGTGGAGCGGTGGCCAGCGCCTCTCCTTCGATTCAAATCTCAACCGCCTAGAATTGCTACCCGTCCCGAGCGCACTTGGCTCGGTTGGCCAAGGCGGAGACGTCGTGTTGGCGCTACATTGTGAAGTTGAGATCAATCCGTTACAGGTGGGGACGAGACTCAACACCTGTCAGTGGTGTCCCCTACGAACCTCCAGCTCTCACTGTAGAGTCTGCAGAGCCGAGATTGAGTAACAAAGTCCTCACTTCGATGAGGATTCCCAATCGCTTTCGCGGTCTGTATCGTCTTCATCTCTCAACACATTCCCCTATCACCACTATCATGAAGCTAGCCACGATCACATCAGATGGTAGGGTCGGAGCCCTACTCATCACCAACCCTTGATCATAGAGGAAAAGCCATCCGATGAGTTTCCGGAGCGTACCCAGCACCCGATACGGAGACGGCGGATTGGGCCAAAATGGTCTCGACTATTACAAAGGAAGATATAGATGAATATGCGCACCTCATGTGGTCCCGGTGTCTAGGCCTCGCCTGGCTGGAGCTGCAGGTTTCTTGAGACTTTTTCCCGCGCTCGCAGTTTCCCTTGCTGCCATTTTTGAGGCAGAAGGTTGCGTGGAAATGGAGGCCGACTTCTACAGGTGATTGCTAAGGTGAACGGCTATCCATCACGGGCATCACATGAGATATTTTCTCGCAACAGAAGAGGCTACGTGCCCTTTACGACGTGTGTTCTGAGGCAGTGAGGAGCCCAGAGGGCAGGATCTTCTAAGACTCAAGTAGCGCAATAAATACCAAAGACAACCCCCATCACCAGTCTTCATTCGATTGACACATACAGCTGCTCTTTACCCTTCGATGTGTCCCTGCCGCAGTCAACAAAGCTAAGGCTATTTGCGGGTGCAAGATGGCCTAGACAGGTTGTGAGGAACTGGCTGCAGGCCTCTTCTATAACCGACATTACGACTAAATCCGAAGACAAGGCGAACCATCTGAAGCGTTCGACAAGACACGCAAGCTAGGTGCTTTAGGCTTGTGCGTACCTAGAGAACTCACTCTCTGCCTTTCTAGCCTCCTTTCATCATTTGCCCGAAGTCCGTGCTGAAATGTCGGAAAAAGCTCAAGAGTAAATACTGTAGAGTGGCTTATCTTTAATTCTTGCTACCGTCCTGGGCAGTGAATGCCCCGTACAGCAATCGATAGTACAAGCTCTCCTGGTAAATGTTAGACCCAACAGACTACTGTGAGAGCTAGAGGTTCGCTGTGGATACCGCTGACGGGTGTTGAATCCTCGTCCCTTGAGGCTATTACATTGCTCCGACGATATGGAAGATCGGTTGAGTTGACAAATATTCAATACGTTTACTTTGGTCTAGTCGCGATACATGGCCAGAGACATCTATTCTATTAGTGAGCTCATGGACATCGTGTAAGGAATTAGTGCTGAGCTAAGTCATGATTATCGACGCATACTCAAGCACATAATTTTGCTACACAATTCTCGAATTAAAGAATGAAAGATTATCGCTCAATCTCATTCAACAGCTGATGTTCATCCAATCGAAAGTTACTACAAAGAACATCATCGGCGTATATTGTTGATCATTATCATGAGTTTTACTAACGATTTATAGATCTAGGATGATTTCAGCTACTGAAGTTTTCACGAAAGATATCGATAGATTTCATTTGTTCTTCAGGTCTCTATGTCTATCATGATGACTTTCTGCGTAAGACACGGATAAAATATGTGATAAGCCCACCAAGATGACGATGAAATTACTACATATTGCTCTCCGTAGACCGTTTTGACTCATGATAAGTTGTACACTACCTTGAGTGCGGCCCTATTTTCATGGCCTATATCTTGCGTGAAATTCATCAACAGTTACAAAGACTTAGTCCAAAACGATTTAGATCATTTTCAAGAACAACCTCAGCCCAGCAGAGGCTTACTACACTCAGACGTGAGGTAATTATTCTTTGGGCGCTTTATGACATTTGACCTGCGCGAGCTCGTGTGAGTAAGACGTCTCTCCACCTTCAATGATAGCGGCTGTCAATTTTCGGCCTTTGACGCAGCCAGTATCTATGCCCAAGCTGTACTCCTTCGTTTTTAGTCCGCGTCGAGCATCGTGTCCATAGATAACGGTCTGCCGTTGACAGGGGCTGAGAGATTCTTGATATTTATTCCAGGCCTGTTGTCACATATTAGCTAAGTTCTCTGAATTACAGCCATAGTTTTTTACCTTTGACCAGGCTTTGCCATGATGCTTGCTGGGAATACCGTGTTTGATAGATCGCATGTTCATGACTGAGAAGGGGTTTTGATCTTCTAATTCTACGCCCGGCTCAATCCCGGCATGGACCACAATGACTTCTCCCATCTCTCCAAAGTTGCCTAGCCGTAGCATCAGGGGACATGATTTGAGCCATTCAATCCGTCTCTCACCCAAAGCTCTAGCCAAGGCTATTACCTTTCGATGGTGGTGACCATAGATTTTCTCATCAGGCTCTGCTTCATCGCCAAGTTCTGATGAACGGGACTGTATATCCTCCCATGCCCGTATGACTTTGTCTTCATGGTTACCTCGAACACAAGATGCTCCGATTTTCATAGCCAAGTCAACCACACCTGGTGAATCTGGACCTTTGTTCACCATATCACCGGCTAGAACCAGGTGGTCTTGCTCTGGATCATATTTGGTTTCTTGGAGAAGATCTTGCAATGATTCCTTCATGCCGTGAATGTCGCCGATCACGAGTAGCCGACGCTGAGTTCGATCTGGGCCTATCTCCGGCAAGTATTTCTCAGGAATATCCATGATCATGACCGGGTCGAATGCTGAATTTTCCTGGTGCGAATTAAGATCTGCTATTTTCTGGAGAATAGCTGAAACCTCCCCAATCGTACTACTCATACACTGTATTGAGCTCAAAAAATAGTAACCGGTCCAGACTAGCAGCGCCATGACTGCCACAAAATTTAGAATACATCTTCTTGCACGATATCTCTGACATCTCGAGGCCGGGTCGTTGTATTGCTGTGCTAGCGCTGGCGCTGGCAACTCTTGTTTCTCGGAAACATAAAGAGGGTGGGATTCGCTATCAGAAATTGGTATCTTGTAGTCAGTCATCGTCGTCGACGTCGATGAAATAATTGCAACTGTAAAAGTCTAGCTTGAAAGGAGGGGAATGGCAAAGAACGTGTCTACTCCGGCGGAGACTATGAGGACTTAGCGGCCTATCTATTAGTTATATACCCCACCAACATGCATCTATACCTAGCACGCCTGACAAAAGGTCACCCGTAGTCTCACAAGGTATTTCAGCCCCTACCTTCCCCACGTTGCGAGGGATGTCCGAGAGATGCGTCGCCGGTTCCGCCAAGCTCGTCAAGTTGACTACAAGGGAGAGTTACGAATCATATGACGGCCGGACCAGCATGATGGGTTTCATGCGTGAGTCTTTCCTTTAGGTTGTGAGTTCCAACCACAGCGCCACGTGCACAGAGAAAAAGTGGGCGTGTTGTCGGAACCTCCCCGTCGAATATTTTCCACTACCGTTCCACTGGCTCTATGCTTCGCCAATTACCGAATACTGCTATACAAGCCCTTGCTAGTCAATATTCCCAGATGCCTGTGAGTCGATCAGTGCGTCAAGTGTGTATAATGCTATATGCCGCCTCCTGTTCGACGTCTCATCCAGCAGCTTATTGAGTCGCATAATCCTTTTGTCTTTCTGCAGCAGTCTCAAAGGCTGTTCAAATTCCTTGCTGAGACTATGAGGCCCAATGATCCCTGGTTATAATCAGGGCTTGTCGACGTGAAGCAGTCAATGTCGGAGTAAACGGCTCGAATAGATACTTCGCGGGCCAGTGTGATATTGAGGTAAATTTCACCTCTACTGACCTCAATTAGTATGGATTTACGACGACGCAGGTGGTAGCTCGTAGCTAGATTTGTCGTGTAGCCGGTTTATGAACATGAAACTGAGCAGATTACCTCTCGAAGGTACAATTCGGATGATTTACATTCCCCGTCCCGTACTAAGCAGCAAGATTTGATAAATATATGGCCACATTCGGCTCTTTCGTCATTTGCTTCTCATCCTAATTTAGATATGCAAAGTAGTGGGGGAAAGAAAGGCGTCAGGCCAAATGCATATAGCGGTAGCAATAGTCTCTAAGAATCGCCATTTCTTCTTCACTGTAAACTGAAAAGGGTTCAAAATAAACTAGATATGCAAATTTAGGATAAGAATATGGAGCCCAGCTCTTATTTACATGGAAGAAAAGTATCAATAGTCTGCCTCCCAGGCTGTCCATGTGGTTACCAATTGCAGACCCCGAAGCACATGACTATGTCCTGCCCTCGATGGTCAAATGGAAGGGGGGAGATTTGGAGACCAGCCAAAGATCGGTGCTCCGAAGCCACGATTAATAACCCTAACGACATCAAAAGAATTACACAGTGGATCTTTTAATATGGTTGGATATAGCAATTCTTGGAGTCGACAGAGATGACGTGGATGGCTTACATGGATGGTAATATAGTTCAACTGCGCTATCTGAGGGACATGTAGGAAAACCAAAGATAATTCAAAAAAAAGTTTGGTGAGTTTCCACTGTATAGTTGCCTTCCACGTAAATATTACAGTTCAAAGACACCCGTATGGGTCCATAGTGCACTGAATCAACAGGATAAAATCAAAATCAAATAGCGATAGCTTGCATGCCCAAGACATGATATAAACTCTAGATTATTTTGTGGATAAGCAATGCTGACAAGTGTGTAGCTTCCTTGCAAGGCTCACGCCGCTGAGGCTGGGCTGGGCCAGACAGATTACCAAGGCGTGAGACTTCGTCCCGCCATGATGTCCGGGTAACCCCGGGCTCCATGTAAATTTTGAATCACGATAAGTAACGCCACGCAAAGATGTACGCTCGTTTCGCCGGAGTGCAACGCCCTATTTATACGGCCACCGCTCATTCGAGTCCTCCAAACCTCAAACGTCGTATTTGTCCCGTACCTTGTAAATACCAGCATTGTCCTAACTGAGCGTCTCCTTCCAACACTGCAGGTCCCTTTCTTTCTTTAGGGCTCAAGTTCACTCTTCAAGGAATAGTACTCGGGATATTTATTCCCTTGTGCTCCTCGTGGTATCACCCCCTTCTCTTACATGAAACTCTTCGGTGTTATTTAAACTGGTGAATGATGATATGCTTGTAGAGCTAGATTGTAGTTCTCATTACTTGCGAGAAACTTTTGACACAGAAGGCTGAGCCATGCTAGATGAGTGTGTTATTTATAGGTGATGACATCACAGATCTTAGACCGACTGATCTTTTGTCAATTGCACGTTGGCGACAATGCATTTTCAGTCGAATTCCGGCGTTGATAATGGTTCTGCTTACTGATCTTCCAAAATCCAAACAGTCATCACACTGGATTTATTCGACCCTTCTCCGCAAATAACTCAGTCATCCGGGTAAATTTTATGATTTGAGTCTCTTCAAATGCAGTGGATGCAATTATCTAACCTGCACCTCGTCAGCACTTGCACCATGTGCGCCTGGGGGTGATGGCTACCATGGCGAGAGGTCAGCGGGCCATCATCTTTTGTCAGGGAAAAGGTTGTGTGATCGTATCGGGGTGAGTAATGATAGTTGCAGGATACAGTCTTGGGTATAGTGACTGGTCGCATACTGGTAGAGAGTGGATCGTGGTAAGGAGCCAGGCCCGCAGTTGATTGTCTCCAATTACTGATAAGTTGGTCGACTGGGGTGGCCGGCAACGTCAGATTACGTCAATGAGTCAGACTCGGCACAGTGAAGACCAATATTTACCGTACTGCCACGGTGTCAAGTTTGCATAAAGGCCTTGGCAAGGGTTGTGCTTGTTCGCAGGGCCTGATTAGGCATGGTTACCTTCCACATTGGGATTAGCCCCTTATTTGTGCAAATCTTTTAAGGACACTGTAGTTTGCTGTGGATCTTTCGTTCTAAACCTAACCGGTATAATGATCGGCTGCATAATATTTGTGCATTTTTGCTACTTGACACTGTAACCTATTTACGATAGTTCAAAGGTTTTCGAATTACAAAATAGAACCCCAATCTTATCTTAAACTTGGATCTGAATTCATGACTGCAATATTTCAGGCTTTAATATCTGGTTGGTCTCCCATCTGCATTTATCACAGCATGTCATCTTGCTGGCATACTCTGAATGAGTCTCACAAGATCTTCGGAAGACACGGAATCCCACGCCTCCTTTACGATCTAGCGAAGACTATCTGGAGTACTCTACTTTCCGCCAGCCAAATTCGGAAGATGATGTTGGATGTAATCCTTAATCCTATTCCAAACAGATTCTATCGGGTTAAGATCAGGTGAGTTGGTCGGCGAGAAAATTGGTTGAATGAGCCTCTGCCTCATTTCTTCCATTGTACGTGCTGCTGTGTGAGCAGAAGTATTATCCTGCATTGCGGAAAGCCAAGGTCTTATTGAGACCATGCCATCGATAAGAGGAACTATTTTCTCGCAATATATTTGGGAGTCAGTAGACCCCCACTCCTTCTCCCAAAATAAACAGGGGCTTTCAACTGGCCCTGCGAAGTAATCCTAGACTATCCAGCCGACCCGCTTCTTCGTGTTTTCTCCAACATCATCAGGGTTGTATTCTTGGGAAGTCTAGCTCAAAATGTTAGAACATCAAACTACTTCCTTTTTAAACGGGAATGTACGAACGCTTCTTGTTGCCCATTCCCTAGAGTTTCGTCTTTCCATAAAACTGACGTCCAGTCTTCTTTTGTCCAATTGAGACGAGCTTCGGCCCATTTACTGCTTGTCTTCATAGTTTTTTGAGATGCTAGAGGCTTAAGATGAGCTACATATCGTTGATATCCTCTCTTAAGTTCTCTTTCTATTACTAGTTCGCTGAAACCAGGATTTTTTAATGGGACAGAGACTAGTTCTAGAAATATTTTGCGGCGGTTTTCAAGTGAAGACTTAACATAAGATAGAATCTGATTAACTTCATCTGCTTCCAGGCTTGTGGATCTTCTTTTTCTCTTTTGGGGGGAGATAGTTCCGTGGCGCAGTAAATAATTAACTTGTACCTAAGAAATGCCTAGTTGTACGGAAATCTGCGTCTGGTTTTTGCCGTTTTCATAGAGCCTGTAGATCTGAACTTTCCTTTAATCTCAATTCTTTTATCCTTAATTTTTCGACTTGCTAAAATGTTTTGATCTCTGGGTAATTATTTGATTCGAGGTGTTCAAGGTGGGGGTTGAGGTGGATTCATGTACAAAATAAGGTTAGTATTGAGTGAAGCCATGTATCTGCTGAATAAATAACTTTGTATTTGAGATATTTTATTCTTATTATCAGTCGAGCACAAGATAAGAAGAGGTATTTGGTTTTTTAGCGGTCAGTGGGAAGAGAAGTGATAGAAGAGAACTGGAAAACTGGTTGGAAGTGCACAGAACTGAGAGTGACTAGAAATAAAATGGTGCCCTTAGTCTGGGCCTTGAAATCCAGGACAATAATAATGTACCCTGTCGAAATGGGCGCTAACAGGGAGCTAGTCCCTGAAGCGAATATTAGACCCATATAAATCCACTACAAACTCCAACCCATGGCCACAGGTAAGGGGAGCCACGGGTGGACGGCGATACATAGTTACGCATTGATATCTTTTTCGCTAAAAATCAAATCAAAGTCTATTGGATTCTCGTAATCGCCTGGCATAGCCAACGTTTAACACCTGTCGACGACGCTCTCCGTCACCTTGGCGGTTGTTGTTTACACTGAGGTCCTAAGCTGATGCTCAAGATTCCAAATAAAGAGTTGAATTCTACGGATAATTACTGAGCGAAATAGCTATCCATCATTGGCATTATCTCAAAGAACTTTTTTCGGTACATAAGAGGACAAAAGTTTCGGAGGGGGAGCCTTTTAGAGAATCTTTCACTTTCAGATATCTATCAAATAACACCTATTGTAGCAAATTGGATCATTGAAGAGTCTGAAAACCAGAGTGGAGAGATGTTAATTAAACCCACTTAGTATTCGAATGCCATATGGTCCGACTATTACAACTAAGCGAAAGGAAGGACAAATATTGAACACCTG